CAACTAGTTCATATCATTAATTAACATTAATTAACTATTATTCTGGTTGGTGGTTGTTATACCCACCCCTCTGAAAAATGATGGAGTTAAAGTCAGTTGGGATGAAATGAAATTCCCAACTGCTTCTGGAAAGTCATAATCCAGTCATGTTCCAAACCACCAACCAGGAAATATGGGGTTCGGGCTTGCTGGACTGTTCCCTTCCTTTTCTAATGTGTTCTTATACTGTACCGTTGGTTGTTATGGTTGTTGTTGGGGTTGCTGGTTGTTGCCCTTTTTGATTGTTTGTCGCCTTTTGGAGTGTATTTGTTTTGCAAGATTCTGGAAGATTCACGCTCTGATTTCGCATGGTATATGCACGTTTCGGAGTGTAGACTTCTCATTTGACACGGTATATGTAGCGCTTGGGAACTGGATGGAACTGGAACCTCTCACATTGCATGATATTTTCAGCATTTTGGAGCTGAAACCTCTCATTTTGCATTGATTTCGCAACACTTTGGAACTTGAACTTCTCATTTAACATCCTCTTTACGGCATTTTGAAGTTTAAACCTTCCAGTTTGAAGTGTGTGTTTTTCCTTTCAAAAATACCCCCTTCCTTCCTTCCATTCATGTTGCATGCTTGTGGCAGCGTTTTGGAACTGAAACCATCTGAAACCTTTCATTTGGCAAAGTTGCTGCATTTTCGGAGCTCGAACTTGTCTAGCTCGAACCGTTCGTTTGGGCATAGTGTTTCCTCCCTTCGACCCTCCCTTCCTTCGTTCCTTCCTTCGTTTCTTCGTTTTCCTTTTTCCTCCCTCCCTCCATGCTTTCCTTCTCTTTCCGAGAACATCTGGTTGGTGGTTTCAACCCCTCTGAAAAATATGAAAGTCAGTTGGGATTATTATTCCCAATATATGCAAAAATATAAAATGTTCCAAACCACCAACCAGACATTTGTTGATACTAACATGTTTCGTTGATTCCTATGCTTTGTTTTGATGGCCTCCAATTCTTTGGGGCACTCATGGAACCCAACAGTGGGGGGGCCATGAGTTTTTCGAGATGTGCAAGGCGAAGATGTGCGAAGTGATGATCGGTATCATGTCCCATAAAATCCCATAAATACATTAGGATAACAATCCAATCAAGCCCTCTGAACTGGGGTCCCCATCCTGAAGGTGTCCATAGGGTCATGGTCCTCTAAATCATCCATAGGGTCATGGCAGATGTCCAGTATTTTCACCACAGGGTCATCTCCCGTCAGACTGCCCTCATCATCGCTGGGATTTTCATCTGGATTTATGGATTTGAAGATCATGTCCTAATGATCCATAGCCATATCCGAAAAAGGCATATCCGATTGCTGCGAAAATGATCGAAAATTTCTGGGAGATTTTTTCGGATCGAAGCCATCTCTAGCTGAAAAAAAACCGGACACATGTCGTGGAGGTTTCGGGGAATCCCCCATAGCTGGATGGTCCATGGAAAAACATACCCTCTGGTAATTTAACAGTTTGCTATTGAAAATGGTGATTTATAGTGACATTTCCCATTAAACAGGGTGATTTTCCGTAGTTTTTTGTAAACGTTTACCAGAGGGTATCTTAAAAAATTCATGATTTGGGGCCCACCTGACTTGGGAAAGCCCAAAATGTGGACCTGTACACTGGCCATGGCGATATCAACCAGAGACCCCAGTCATCCCCAGTCACGGGGGTGGTTTCATCCCCACCAAACCTGCCATTTTTTGAAGCCATCCCAGCTGGCGCCAAGTAGCATAGACAGATCAAGAACAGTGGAAGTCTCGAGCCCGGATGAATGGTACCTCTTGCGGCCTGGCGCTTGGGAAAAATGACCAGTTGGCCAAAAGTTTTATGGTTCTATTTCCCGCAGCGGTTTGCAACCAAAGTGGTGATATAAACAAAAAATGGTCATGCGAATGGAAAATGAATAGGCATTGCAACTGAGCATTCGATGAAGATTTAGATAATCTTGGTTGGGGGGTCTACTACCCAATTCCTCATCTTAAAAAATGACCCTTCGATAAATGTCCCATGAAACAGCAGAGAATCTTCACGAGTCACAAGGGTGGAATGTCCCCAACTGCTCCAGGGTGGTTTAAGTGACTCGACTCAACTGTTTGTGGGTCATTGCCTTTCACCTCATGCATTACATCGTTTTTCAATGTTTTTCACAAGATGGTCTGAAGTTGGAGTGAAACTACCGATTTCGTGTGCCTCTAACCTAGCTGCCCCGAAAAAAAAATACCGCGTTTTTGTTATCCAAGTGCCACTACACTCGGTTGAAATCTATATGACCATCCATCGATATATCTTTCCAAACGACGGAGTTGACCCTGGCAATGTCAAGGAAAAAGGGGGGGCATCTTCATGCGAGATGCAACTTCCCGATGTTTTGTCAAATTGGGAAGACCACTCTGTTTATGGCCATTAAGAAAGGACAAATCCTCACACCTGGCAAGGAAAATACAACACATCATTGACATCACCTACAAATACTGTTTTTTTGAACCCTTTCTCTTGGTTGGACTTCAATTGTTGCCAAGATTCAGATGATTCAGTGCGTAAGTGAGTAATTTTGCACATTGTGCGGTTTCATGCCCATTTTTTTCGTGTTTCACACCATTGCAGGTCAAATCACCACTTCTGTTGGTTCCTATGGCGCCGTTGTGCCAAGGCGCCCAGGGGATGTCTTCCAGAGGCGGTTCCCCTTCGCCAAAGTCATCCTGAAGTGGCGAAGTTGGCGTCCAAAACCATGGGGATATTCATGTGTATGCATCAATATATATATATAC